GTGCGGCTTCTGTGCCGCAGCAGGGTGGCACAGGCAGGGAGCCCGCTTCCCGCTGGCAGACCGGCTCTGCAAGCCCAGGGATTTCCGAAGTCCAGGCGTGCGGGTCTACGGCCCGAGGCCAGCGCCCAGCTTCCACCGGGCAGAGGACTCGTGGTTTAACACAGCACCGGGGCCACGGCTCCGGGGCGCAGCACGAACCGGGATCAAACCCCACCACCACATCTGCACGGGGCACTGGGCAGCAGAGGCGCTGGCTGAAAAGCGTCAGCACAGCTTCGTGGTACATCTCCTGCTTTGGAGCTACGGGATTTGGTTGTCCCCAGCCTTCCCAAAGCGCTCTCCCATCCCTGTTTTTCCCCAGGACACAGGTAATTGCTCAGTACTGAGGTCTGCCCCCGCTTCCACCCCCCTCCGTCGTTCTTACCAATTGCTCTTCCACGTGTGCCTCACATCTGTGTCGTGGATGCCGTGCTTATCTGCCTGCTCATCCAAGAAATCGAACATGTACTTGATGGCCAGGGGGAGCGCGCTGCCGCGGTGTACGGTGCTGAACAGCGTCTCGAACAAGTCGTCCACAAATTTCTGCAGCGTGCCCTAATGGGAGCAGCAACCGAGAAGGTGAAGGGGGGCACGGGCGCACGCCCCGTTAAGCAGCCGTGGAAGGGGGGGACTCCAGGTGGGGTCGCCAGCTCTGCACGGCCCCGCAAAGCGCAGCCACGGGGCCCACGGGAATATGTAAGGTTGGGGTCTTCACGAACGCTGACTGCGCTGCCGGAGGACCCCGGGGGAATGCTCCGGTCTGTAGCTACTCACGGTGCACTTACTCTTTATTTCTAACCTGAAACAATTCCTTTTGCTTTCAAAACTGAATCTGCGTTATCTACAGTGATGAACACACAGCGAAAGGCAGGAAAACTCTCTGGCCAAGGAAACCAGTTAAATACTCACAGCCATTGCTGCCTCTCTCCAACTCTTTGTGCCTTAACACCATGCAGAAGCACGAAGTGTCGCAGCAATCACCTCGCAGGGTGAGGATACCCGGGCTGTGTTTCTGCTGCTGCCCCAGAAGCCACCCAACCCCTGGGGCCCAGGAGAGCTGGGCAGGGACAGTCCCCCGGGAGCTGAGCATCATCAGGGACTGCGCAGGACCCCCGGTAAGTGTGTCAGGAGGCACCTCCCAATGCATTCCCCAAGCAAATCCAGCGCATGGCAGTTACCTTTGTAGCTAACAGTCTGGTCAGGTAGATCTCGGACACCATCTTACTGCCCCGGTCTCCTTCCTTTTGGTCTCCGTGGTCGTGGTTTTTGACCAGGTGCCAGACCTTGACGCCGCTCTCCAGGTCGGGGGTGATCATGGGGGTCCGCGAGCGCAGGCTGAGCGGAAGGTGGAGTCTGAGCGACGGGAAGAGAAGTCGGTCACGCTCAAAGCAAACCCCTTTTTCATTTCCCTGTCTCTTCTCAGTGATGCCACCGTGCTCGCTAACGTCAAAATCATCTGCACTGGCTTTTTCATGGGGTGATGAAACGTTACACCACCCAGGCACCAACAAAATGTGGTGTTTGCCAAAGACAGGTGTTGGTCTTCACTGAACAGAGTCCCTCAGACTCCAGCCTTTCTGTTTTCACACTCAGATGTGAGACTTTTCTGCTCCATTCACACCCTCTACTTATGTGAGCTCAATAACAGGAGTCCAAGCCAGACACCTCCGTGAGTCACAGCCCGGGCACCACCTCCCGCAGCACCGGCGTCCCGATATCAGCATTTTGTAAATAACTACAAGCTGCCCGGCACAAAGCGTGGAAGAAAACTGTTGTTCTTGAGCCTTTCATCAGAGCAACACGGGCTCGAGCTGAGCACCGACGGCGGAGCCCGAGGCCAGCCCTGCAGCCCGGCCGTGCCACCCGCCCTGCTGTCCCCACGTCCGTCCTCCTGCCCAGCAGGGAAAGCCGAGCAGACAAAGGTTTTTCACTTAATTGCTGGGAAACCACGGAGGGATGTGAGATATGTTTGACTTCCCAAAGAATGTGCCTCCCTGGATGCCATCCACCGCGCCTCCAAGCCGAGACACCGGGGTGAGTGGCACAACCACGCGTTGCTGGGTTCTATTTCCTCCCAAAATGTCTTTGTTCTCTGGGAACCTCCTGGATTTTCTCCAGCGCAGCCTCCAATTCGCAGCTCACCCTCCTCATCGAGAGGAAGGGGATCAACCATAAATCAGCCGAGGGAAATACGCAACCATTACCAAACTAGCTAGATTCTCATCCCTGCTTAAGGCTTAGATAAATGAGTACTCCAACTGATATAATTAAGGAGACAGACAGGGGGACAGCTAGGGAAGCACTAGTAATTCTATTTTTAAACATAGCTCTGTACTGATATAGAATGGGGAAAGTAAATAAGTATCTCATTTAAATTCTACCTGCACAATTAAAAATATTAATTTTAACATGAGCAATGCTAGTTCACATTGGTAGTTTGAAAAAGCTTTTCCATCTGACACAGATCAAGGAGCACTGTGTGACCCAGCCTCGGTTTTTCCATCCCCTGAAGCGTGAGAAGCTCTGGGCGCTCGGGTGGACTACAGCTTGCAGGGAGAAATCCCTTTTCTCCTGGCTTTTGCCTAAAGACTTTCCTGTGGACGGCTCCTCAGAACCCTTGCTCGAGAAAAAACCCATTATTTCGGAAGCTATAAACAAAAGGAGGAGACGGGATTGTCAGGAGACCTCTCGTTTGTAAAACACTCTGTAAAATGAAAGATAATGAAAGATCAGCACACTAGAGATTTGCCACCGCTGCCTTTTCTGGAAGTATATTATTACTATTATTGTGGATTTAGTGCTATAAATGCACACCTGGCACCTCGCAGACTCATTTGCTCAGGCTGCAGCGTCTCCAGGGACCCTCCGTGAAGTGCCGACCCCGCTATTATGCAAATCCTGAACTCCCTGGCGTGCACATCCCAGCACACCGAGCTACGATTGCCGCTACCCATTTTTGACCCATTAGCTAAGAATTCAGGATCCTCCACTTAGAGAAGAAACAGGTGAAGGAATGAGGCTTTTCCCTCGTGCAGCCCCGCTTGCGTGCAAGGGACACAGCGCTGCCTTCCCGCAGCACCCAGCCCCTCCAAGCCAAACGCCTTCCCTGGGGCTTTTCCAAGATGACATTTCCAAAGGCTGCTCCTGCTGCGCTCGCCCTTTCCTTTTCCCTGCTCTCAGCTTCTCTGGACTTTTTTCTGTTGTGCTCACAGGTGGAAAAGCCTTTGCAGAACACCGGTAGCCAAGGACATTTTTGTTTGGCCCATCAAGGTACTTTGATTTTGGCCAACACGGTGTGGTTGTCTGGGGGAAGGTGCTGCTTTTTCCCCACCCAGTTCCCTTAAGGTGCTGCCCTCCTGCAACACAGGCAGCTTCAACGCCAGCCCCAGCAAGACACACTCTCCAGTAAAGCTGCAAGCTCCAGGCTGGCTCCAAAACGTGCAGCGCAGCAGCAGCAATGCCCAGTCGCTACCCGTGAGCCATCGCGTCCCAGCCCCTAACTCTGCTTCTTACCGTATCGACTAATAGATGTCCGGGATATACTGGCAGAGGCAGGAATATTGTAGGAGGAGGTCTGCTTGGGAACGAGAGCCACAACCGAGCGGTCTGATACCTGGGAAGGCAAAGGAGAGAAGGTCAGCGAGATCCACTGTCTGCACTGCTCATCCAGCAAGTGCCGGTAACGTCATTCATATCATAGAATCTCAGGCTGGTTTGGGTTAGGAGCGACCGTATAGACCATCTCTGCCACCCTCCTGCCCTGGGCAGGGACCCCTTCCACCAGCCCGGGGTGCTTCCAGCCCCGTCCAGCCTGGCCTTGGACCCTGCCGGGGAGGGGGCAGCCACAGCTCCTCGGGGCCGCCCGGGCTTCTCACCACCCTCACAGCAAAGAACTTCTTTCTTCTGTCTAACCTAAACCTACCCCCGGTCAGTCTAAAGCCATCACCCCTGGTCCCATCACTCCATGCCCCTGTAAAAAGCCCCTCTCCAGCTCTCTTGCAGGCCCCGTCAGGTACTGGCAGGCTGCTCCCAGGTCTCCCCACAGTGCTGTTGTCCAGGCTGAGTCCCCGGGGCCCAATCCTGCGGCCAGCCCTCGCAGAGACGCGCTCCCGCTCCGGCTGAGCCCCGCGCCGGGTCGGCAGCAGCTCTACAGCAAGGGACTGAAGGAAAGGAGCGATAAATCAAAAGACATACTGAAGATGTTTTTGGTCGTTCTGATTTAATATTACGCTTTAGACAATAAAAATGAGAATCTCAAGAATTGTTGTGATCCAATTAAAGTAACAATGCAGAGGGAATAAAATGGCTATAATAACGTTACGGACCATAAAACATTCCTATTAAACCATTTTTTATTTTAGCAATTTTTAGGAACTTTAAAAGTTTGATTTACAGCTGAGCAAGTCAGGAAGCCATCTTTCAGGGTATTAAATTGTCAGTCCCTCTGCTGCATCAGAGAAAGAATTAAACGCAGGGAAGTCAAACTATAAATGAACATTAGCGCTAACAAGATTTTGTTATAGCAGATTTTAGTAGCCATGTTTAATTTTATCCTCCCTATAAATCTAGTAGTCACTAGAAGTTCTTTAACTTATTTTCCTTAATTAAGAATCTGCAGGAATGAGCCTGAGTGTCTTTTAATTTTGAACTCGTGGCCCACGGTGCAGCACGGCAGGGGAGCAGAGAGCGGAGTCACCGCATCTCGCAGGCGGACGGACCTGCCAGGGCCCAGCCAACAAATCATTTAGAGGAGCCGCACAAAAGAAGCACCTCTTCACGCCAGAGAAATTGCTTTTGGGCTAAGTCCTCCCTTATTTGCCAGGAGTCCTGCGAGGGACTCGGTCCTGTCCCTGCTTCCAGAGGGAAGCAGCTGGGTTTTGCTGCCCCAGCATCTCCCGGCTCTGTCGGCAGAAGGGGTGTTTGTCTGACGCCTGCTGCCACGGGGTGACCTGCACACAGCAATCTTCGCTGCCTTCAAGGCTTTGGGTTCCATTCAGATGAAAGGTTTCACGTAAACGCGAGTTATTCTTATTGCCAGTGATAGTGGAAATAATAGTCACTTGTGTTTCACAGTACAGAAGTGAGATATTGCTATGCAAAACACTTCAAACACCTCTGTTATTTGCTCTTCTGCTTCTGCCTCACTTCATCCAATTTATTAAGTCAATGGAAGAAACGATCAGTGGTGATAATGTTTTCTTGGGCTGTTATGAGCTGCCACTTCAGTTCAATCTCAGCAGGGAGGACCCTGAGCGCGCCAGCAGCCCCGGGTGCTATGGCAGAGGCAGCAGCTCCCCGACCGCCCCTCCCCGCCCGCCGTGCCGGGATCCGCTTCCACCAGGGCTGTGGTGAACTGGGAGAAAGGCATCAAAAATTCCACACACACACAGAGCACTCCCACTCTCTACATTTTGGGTCGAATGGCTCTTGTCAGTTAGAAAATACCAACGCGCAAATTAGCATCAGATGCAACACACATTGGTTTCCCATCACGCCCTGCTGTTGCCTCACTCCCATAAAACCCCAGAGACGCCTGCGAAGCTGGCTGGCTGTTTTACAACTTTATAAATATTCTGATTCTTCTACAAGCTGGAAACATGCTGCACAAAACACCCGAAAAAAGAAAAATAAAACCTGGAGCTGGGACAGCAGCAGCGCAGAAGCCCAGACAGTAACACTGCGTCTGCACGGGCTGCTGAGGACGCAGTGAGGATGCTGGCTCCACCTCCCCGCCACCCTCGGCTCCTGGGTCTCATTTTCCACACAAATCTTCCCTCTCTGATTCTAATTTTTCATTTAAAATAGTTTTCTAGTCTCTTGGCCCTTCCAGACTTCCAGTGGCTGACAGGTATTCATGCTCTGCTGCCTCAGAGTTAACCCTGCATGAGCCACTGTAAATCATTTGATATTAAATTCAGTGTTTCATTTTTCTTGAGCAAAGCCATGCGGGGTGAGACTCTCCCATGGAGTTTAATAGGCATGAAACCAAAACGATACTACACAAATGTAATACAATTCCTTCAACTCAGTTTAAAAGCTCCAGAGAATTTAACAAAGAATTTTACCTATTTAACCTACACATCTACTTTTCTAAATGAAGAAATAAGCAGCAGGCATACAGTTCTCCCTGTAGTTCTATAAAGTGGTTCAAAATATGACAGAAAGATGAATATTTCTTTTTAAACCCAACCTGGCTTTTGCATGCGAAGACTTCCCATGAAAAAGACATTTTATTAGTTGATGCAGATACATATCGTATTCTTATCATCCTAAGCGAGTAGAAAACAAATGTAATAGTGTCAAAATCCAGCAGCCAAGCGTGGAGCTGAGAAACTGCTTTAATTAATTAAATATTAAGTACCTGCCCCCCGCCGAGCCTCCCAGCTGTGCCCCTCCAATTACTGCGCGCAGTCCAGAGATCGCTTTGCCTTCAGAGCGGCAGGTCAGAGTAGGTGCCATCGGACCAAGAATAAAGTCAAGACAGCTCTGAATAAAAGGCAGAGAGCGCTTTACAAAGCCAGCTCTTATTTTTCCTAGAAATTCAGAAATCGTCTTCACTAGTCCTCCAGAAGCTGGAGAAATCCAGAATTCATTTTTACGGCTTGAACCACACCTGCTTTGTGTGCAGCACTCACATTAAAATGGTGAGACAGCAGCGCTTGAAGCTCCGATGGTTTTATACCCTCTCCTAAGCCGTCCCTTTGCCCACGTGTTTGTTTTACTGTGTAGTCCTGGAGCACCTGTGTTTTTGATACCTAATAAAAACATTTATTACTCAACCAGAAAAAAAACAAACCTGGTAGGGATAAAAAAAATATAATGTATTGCTGTTTTTGGCAGAAGCCCTGGCTTGACCAGATTTCTGTTGCAGTGCAGAGAACCTGGCTTCTTTGCACGGCTGGAACAGCTCTGCCGAGCGGCGCCGGGCTCCGGGAGCGCGGGGGGGGCGCGTAAAAACAAACCTGGTAGGGATAAAAAAAATATAATGTATTGCTGTTTTTGGCAGAAGCCCTGGCTTGACCAGATTTCTGTTGCAGTGCAGAGAACCTGGCTTCTTTGCACGGCTGGAACAGCTCTGCCGAGCGGCGCAGGGCTCGGGCAGCGCGGGGGGGACGCGTGCCATCGCTACCTGTCTGGATGTCTGGCAGCAAACTTCTGCTTTGTTCCACAGCCACCTGACAGCCAAACGGCAGGGACAGCTGCGGCATCTTGAGGGCTGCAAGGATTCTGTTTATTTTAAGGGTGAACTTGTGGCTCTGATTTTCCCACAGGCACTAAAATGAAAGGACTCCCTCCCCTCGCGCCCGACACACACCAGACAAACACGGATTTCGCTTCTGACTTCCTTAAGATGATTTTCAAAGATCAAGGCATAATAAAGTCTCGCTGCTTCCCTGCATGTTGCTTAATCCCTTGCAACTGTCACGTAAAACAGATTTTAGAAACAATGGAATGCATCTGCACAACTCCTCTGACATTCTGCAGTAATCTGTGTTTAAATCCTTCGGGCTGCTTGGCAAAGTCGACCCTCGAGGTGCTTTTTTACATGCACTTTGCATATTTATGCCATTCGCTCTGCCTCGCTCCTTGATTACATGGCTCCTGTCAATACTGGCTCGTATTCAACTTCCACAGCGTGAGTCACGCTGATGGACTTGAGATGGTGTATAAACAGGGAAAGATGCCAGATTAAATACTAAACACTTCTGTGGAGGCAGTGACGGACAGCAGTAGGTTACGGGTCCCAATTAACGCAGTTATCCTCTGCTGCAGGCAGGCTTTGAGTAAAAGCCTTTGATTCTCTTTAACCAAACCTTCCTCCGCTCCGTCTTTACCTCTCGTACCACTTTTCACACACCGTAAGAAGCCCTTTCCAACAGACACAAGCCTCTCCAGGGCAGCCTGGGCTGGCGCATGCACGCTGCAAAAGCTAAAGGGCAACAAATTCTGAGGTCACTTGGCCCACCCTGGCCAACGCGCAGCAGAGCACCTTCTCTGTCGAGCTTCGTGTTATATGACCTTCGTGGCAAAAGTCCTGGTACTTGGCTTGGAAGACTAGGTCTGGGACTTAGGAGGTTTGATGCCACTCTGTCAAGAAGTTGCCCCTGATATCCACCCTCTCTTGACGTGGCCTCATCCCGTACCTCCCCACAGCACTCCCTCGACCCTCTCATATGACAGCATTTGAACCATTTGCTCGGTTTCCCTGCTTCACTCCTTGCGCGATGCTCAAGCGTCAACACGTCGGAAGATCACAAGTATGAGAGCCGAGCTGCTGCTGCAGCCTGGTGCTTTGGATCAGATCATCTGAGATCATCTGCAGAGCTCTGAAGGAAGGCAGAGACTCCTCTTCCTCCCCTGCTGCACTCCTGGTTGTCTCAGACCCCCACATGAAGACCCAAGCCCCGTGGGCCATCCCTCCCCCCGCCCCCGTCCCCAGCAGCGACAGCTCAGCCCTCTCCACCGCTCCCTCTATCTCACTACCATGCTGGCGGTTTTAATTTAGTCAATTTTCACCTCTGCTAGTTTCTTTCAGATCCACGTCAAGGTTGCTTTCCTGTCTAATGCAGAAGCACATTGAACCCGTCTGGTTTATCACACCACTGTGACCTCCCTGTCTGTCTTCGTAGATGAGATTACTGCGGAATTAAAATTCTGTTTTTCTTTTCTTGCCTCCTGGCAGCTTTCTGGGAGCTGTCTGCTGGGGCTGCTTTCTTACCTGATAGTGCATCAAGGTGTTCAAGCGCTTCCAATCTCCTTCAATCTTGGTGGTGATGTCTTCATCCTGCAGGACCACACGCGCTATCCGGCCCTGCCGCCACTCTGCGGGAGAGGCAGACGCGACAGTCAGTGAGGGAAAAGGCACTACCAAGCCCCATCCATTTCTGGCTCAGGCAACCACTGGGCAGAGGAGCCTGCAGAAACGCCCAGCTGCCAGGAAACGGCACCCAGAGAAAGCTACGTCCTGCTCTTAAATCTTACACCTGCAAGGCAGGTCACAGCGACAGCTTTCACGCAGCCAAGCGCAGCACTTCCCCTCCCACGCAGCGGGTTCTGCGGTCTTCAGCTCAACCGAGGTGCAGCACCTTCCCAGCCCTCTGCCCCCCACCCCTCGGCCTCCAGTAAGGTACACAAGCTTGAGGAGAAGCTCTGCTCAGCACTGTTGACGGAGTCATTTGCTCTGTGGTCAACGGACAGTTAGGTGATACCACAGAGTTTGAAACCTATCCAGCAGGAGCAGTGCCCAAGCCTTCTAGGGGCAGAAACGGCTGTGACCTTGTGCAGCCTGAGCTCCAGCTTTCAAGCTCTGCAAAACCCACGGAGAATCACTGATAACAACAACCTCTCTGATCCTCCCCTTCCTACGAGGCAGGGAGGCTCCTACCCAAGTCCATGTCAACAGCTCTTGGTCTTTGAGAATACGGGACGTTTTTGTATACTGCATCGAGGATCTTCTCTTTGACTTGAGTGATGGTATCACAGTTCAGCACCTTCACGGGGATCTCGGGACTGTTCTCATTATCCGGGTTCACACAGTTTAGGATCTGGAAGGGAAGGAGAACCATACCAGGCTCTAAAGGGCTTCAGACAAGCATCTAGGAGAACTGTAACCACATCTGTCACAACAACCCTTTCTCATAAAAAACCACTACAGCCCTATTTGCCTCATTGCTGTTGCATCTACTGTATCTTCATAACAATTATTATGATAGGAGCCCCTGATGTCCGTTTTCATTTGCTGGAGGGAGGGCAATGCTCAATGCATGGGGAGATACAACGTTCCCCTCAAACTCTGCCTTTCAAAACCTTAGCTCAGGCTATTCGTACCTGCAGATCAGGGACACACCTGACTTGGGCACGTGTCTACCAGCACAAGGCTTTATTGCACTGGCAACATTTGTGCTTCACAGTAGCGTCCTAATCACCGGCCTACAGGTCAGAACAGCTCATGTCCAAGTGCAGAGGACAGAAGCGATTCAACGGCAGCTTCTACAGCCATCACTCACCAGAGTCTTGTACTCAATTTGCTGCCGGATCAGCTTGTCCTCGCTGAGGGAGTAACGGGCTTCTCCCGTGATGGCATCAATCGGACCTTTCTCCATCTGTTGCTTGATGGCACAGTAGAGCATGAAGAGTGGCTCTCCAGCACATTCCTACACAACGAGATGGACAGCAGAACTAACACCGAGGTGAAGGTGCATCTCCTCCAGGGCCACTGGCCTGCAGACAGGTTTTGCACAGGATTCCTCTCAGCAGAGGCACAGTCCCACTGACTCTGCCTTTTGCACACGTGCAGTCCAGCTCAGCCCCCAGCAGCTCCTGGAGAGCCAGAACCCTGAGCTCTGTTGCTCACTGGGTATGTTGCCTTTGGCTTGGTAAACCTCTACTGAATCTAGATGGCTGTAAAAAAGGAATTTGAGATCTTGATCTTATTGTTGGCTGCCATCGAGCAAATCCTGTGGGGCTTCCAAAACCACAAATAAAGTTAAAAAATATGGAAACCCAGGCACGGAGATGTGACTGAGAATTTCTCCAAAGTGCTCAAGAGGTGCAACTGAAACTCCGTTACACGAGAAGGGCACCAGGCGATCTGAGGGTTGGACGGGGCTGAGCCCCAGGCGTAGGCATCTCCGAGGAAATTTCCACCTCCCCTGCCTTGTTACTACATCTTTTGACTCGGAATCTGAGTTTCAAGCCCAGATTCACCGTGGGGGTGGCTGGTGGGTGAGACAGCAAGACAGCAATGGCATCTCCGCTCCATCCCTCCTTACCTTGAGGAACTTGTGGAGAAGGAAGGCAAACCAGTTCGTCAGCATCTTCTCAGCCACCGACTCGGTCCTAGGGAAGCCAGGAGGAGACGCACATCACATATAAAACCAAACCACGTACCAGAGGCCCCAAAGCTCCCCGCTGGCAGCACCCAGCTGCACCCTGGCACAGCTCAGAGCCAGGGCTGGGGCTCTGGAGCAGGCAGACAGCGGGACGCCTGGCTGACAGCCCGTCAGAGCCCTGATGGGGCTGGTGACAGGGAGCCCAGTGACACTCGGCAACACTCGGCTCCTTGCACATGGTGCAAATTACAGCCTGGCGCAGTAAATCGCTGGGATTTGCAGCGGTGTCTGGCAGTCAGGGACAGCAAAGTGACAATGGCAGGGAAATTGCAGCTTTCTCCCCAGTCCCACCCAGCGTCCTCTCTCCACATTGTGCCCAAGATTATCTCTAATTTTAATACAATGGCTCCTAATCATAGCTTTTAACGCCAGCTCTGCAGGACCAGGAGACTTTCCTTAAAGCACCACAGCTCCTTCTCCAGGCACAGGATGGCTGCACTGGTGGCAGGGGGTCTCGCAGCCCCCAGCCCAGCCGTGCGGGCAGGGCTGCCGGGCTCTCTGCACCCGGGCTTTGCCATTGCCACCAGCCTCCCCCTCGTGCCGCATGCGACACCAGGATCTGGTCCACGTTCCAGCAAGCTCTGAGCGGTGGGTCCAATACCTCGCCCGCGGCAGCACCCTTTCCTCCAGGGACCATGCCTCCCTGCACCTTCACCGTGAGCCTGCAGCAGGGCAGCAGCCTCGCTGGCTCTGGGCATCTCTCTGTGCCCGTGCCGTTCCTCCCAACTGCCTCTTCCATCACCGTGCCACCAACCTGCCCAGGGGATGCCCAACGGGCACGGCCATGCCCCAAGCCTCTGCCCACGCCCTGACCCGGAGCACCATTTTCCCCATTCTGCCCCATCTGCTCCGCTGCCTTGAATCCAGGACTGCCCCTTGGTGTGTATTCATACAGCATCCCACGTGCTGGAAAACTCTGGCATTTAATGAAAAACACACGCTACAGAAGCAACAGGGTTTGATCACAAAGTCAAGCAGATCAAGTTTAAACAGGAGCCACAGATCACAGAATGTTCAGGGTTGGAAGGGACCCCTGGGGATCACCCAGCCCAACCCCCTGCCCAAGCAGGGTCACCCAGAGCAGGCTGCACAGCACTGCGTCCAGGCGGGGCTGGGATATCTCCCGAGAAGGAGACCCCCCAGATATCAGCAAACAAAAAACTGACGCCAGTCGGCAAACGGACCTGGGGTCACATTATCCATCATCCCTTCGGATCGCAGCATCTGCCAGGAATTTGTGAAAATGCCTGCAGATCCCCAAAGAATTTAAGCCTGAATTGATTAAGTGCCTAAAAAAATCATCCTACAAATGGACACACACAGTGTTCTCCTGTTTAAAATATTTCAGTCACCCAGTTAAGGAGGAGCAGCACTAGCACACTGCCGAGCCAGGGAAAATGGAGTCAGTCACACAAGCTAAAGAACAGGTGAAAAAACTCAGAAAATGCGACATTCAGGACTTCAGGGTGAATATTAATTTAATAAACTACTTTGTTTAATAGAATACTAAATTAAGAATTGGCAAGCCTCCTGTTTAGCCCTACCAGTGAAATAACGCTGTGCCCTGTCCCTGCTGGCTGCTCACGGCCTGACACTGGCACCCTGCTCTGGCTCTGCACAAATAACGGGAAGACGGAGCGACAGAGAAGTTGGGGCGCATCGTGTGGGAGAGGGGTACAGATACTCCTGCGCCCAGCCGTGCCCTTTGACTTCTTTATCAGAAATACAAGATCTGCTGAATGGAACAGCAAAAAGAAACACCTCGGAGCATCTCTGTCAAATCCCACTTCTTCTCACCTTCAGGCACCGTGTCTCGCTCTCATCTCGACACAGCCTGATGCTGTGAGATATCTGCAGCGCATCAGTCCTGAGAACGGCCAACAACTACGTTACTCATCAGGGAAAGGGGCTGCTCATAACCTTCCTCGCTGCCGGGTGCCGCGGGAGCACCGATGGCTCCTTTCC